GTGGGTGGGGGGGGGGGGGGAGCCCAAAAATTCGAGTGTCCTCATAAATGAGCATTTTTATTTTAAAGTTATTTAAATAAGACCATTGCTGTGTGTACATGTAAGATAGGTTCTGAGGAAAACCATGAACAAATCTCACAGAGGGGTCACAACACCAGCCGCACTGCATCGCCCACGAAGGTCAAGAGGGGTCAGAGTGCCTGACCAAGGTAACAGGCCCTGCCCACACACTCGACAACGCAGGGGCGTGTTATTGTGAACACAGCAACGAACTTTTCCAGTTCCATAAAACGGGGGGGAAATTCCAGATACTTTCTTGAAAAGCAAAGTGACACCGCTCCATGACGTCATTTCGGCTTCAGCTCCTGTTCACAGCATCGCAGACACAAATTCTCAGTAACCGAGACACCCGATAATCGGGCACAAAGAAAGTCCATGGCAAACCAGAGACTTTTCACGGAGTGGACTTCTATTTGCTTTAATGAATATTAGATCAAAGGACTAAGAACTGAATGGAACGCGTCATAACCTCGTTTCTGACTTCACCAACCGGAAACATAAAGACATTATCACAAAGATAAGTTTTTCTTGAATGTCGCGCCGTGTAATCCGGTAGAAGTTAAACCATTGTGCAGAGAGGAACACCAAAATCAACAAGACCGAAGTGTGAACAATTAAGATGCCGGTACATGCGACCCCACCCCCGATTCACGACAATTTTGTTTCTCAAAGAAGATATATCAGTGCTCACGATCTCCATGGAGCCGAGTCCTTCCTGAAAAGCCAACAGTCGCTCAGTCACTCAAGAAGTTCCCAACATTTTATTGAACCCGAAGGTTCATTACCGCGTTCACAAGAGCCCGTCACGAGTCCCTATCCAGAGCCAGATGAATCCAGTCCATACCACCCCATCCTATTTATCTCAGATCTATTATAATATAATCCTCACATCTACGTCTCCGTCTTCCTAGTGGTCTCTTTCCTTCTGGTTTGCCCACCAAAATCCACTACGCTGATGCTTTCACTACTTAATTGTCAATTCTTTCTTCTGAACTTTACTTCAACTTTGAACGTTTGTAAAAGAAGATAATTTTTGCTCTTCGTTTCGGAAGCCAATCCCGATATTTCCACGGTATAAAATGGGTTTGCAGGAAAGGAACCAACTGGGTCGTTTGTGTGAAGAAGACGGCCGACAAAGGGTGCAACCAATAACATCGGGCGAGTGGTCACAGGGAGAGGGTTTTACTCACATCCAGGGCGCAACTGGCGACTCGTCTGCGAATATTTCGTCGCTTGTTGCCGGACTTGAGGTAATTCATCCACATGATGGACATCTTGTAGCGCGCAGTGTCCGCGACAGAATTGCACGGAATTATTACAACTCGCGTCTTGCTACGAACAAAATCGGTCGCGATTTAAAGAGAATTTCCGAAAAATATATTTTTGTCAACATCAAGATTGAAAGCGATACTGAAGTGGGCATCGCAGTGCACACAAGCGAACGACAACACCCGAGATTCGACTGCAAACTTCCATAAAATTACCACACGCACAAACAAAATGTTCGGCGTTTTAAAGACACCACGCCGGGTCCTGTCTTCACAGCCACACGTCACAACTAAAATGGAGTAACAGCTAAACGTAAATCAACACGACGACGAGCTCAAGCTTCAGACTTTCGAGAGAGTTCGTACGAGACTGAAATCATCTTCTGGTGGGCTCCAAAATGTGGCGGTGGAGGGCGAATAATACTGGGGGAGAGGGAGGGAGGGTCCATTTTGTAAATTGGCCTAGGGAGGCTGGGTCAGTCAGATCTTACGCGAGAATTCTTTTAATCAGATCGCTAGTTTGGCAGAGTAATCCAACTCACACGCATGAGTCGTCCTCATCTGGGGAAGGGGTGGGAGGGACACACGTGATTTTACTCGCTTATGATTCAGTGACTCACTAACAGCAAGTGAGGTGGGGGGGGGGGGGGGGGGGAAGCAGGGAAACGAGGCTGCGCCCCTCAAATACTGAATACTTGGGGAGAATTCATAGGGTGGGCTGTTTTTGTTCGCAAATTCAATCCTCCTAATTCGCATTTATCTCCCCTTTCCATACCGAAGGACAATGTGAGTCATCTCCACAGCGAAATACGATCTGGACGGGTTCAATTAAAACTGAACTCAATTCGAAGCCAGCTGCAGGGAAGCTCGTGCTCATGACGTCGGTCAAAGCCACACTGCTCCTTGTGGACCGAAGGCTTTTCGCACAAACACTTTCGAGACATATTTATGAGAGAAAGAAAGTCCAGGCTTTCCAATGGTGAAGAGTTGTTTTCTTTGCGGTGCGGACTGAATTCTTAAATATTACTAAGAGCAGCCCCTCTATACACCGTCGACGAAATATTTGAAAGAACGAAACACGAAAATAAATAACACCTACCCGGGAAAGCATCTGTACTGGGATTATTTTCGTTTGTCATATTTCTGGTTATCGAGGCTGTCTCCGGCAATGTTGCGGTAAAACATCTTGCTACATACACACCAACGTTTCAGAAGTACTTGCTACCTCCATCATCAGGGTGCTACAACCCATAACAGACAGTGAGAACATCAAATCGTATCCGACAGTAATAATACTTACTGCAGAGAACAAATTATGAAGTTCCGCGCTGTATTAAGCTCTCCACCCCCGTTAATTGTAAATCTGTTGTTCATATAAAAATGCATTAATATACGACTGAATGAAAATGCTAAAAATACAGGACGTTTCATGCTCCAAATATTTCCGTCCCAGAAGCCGTAGAAACTTCTAGTGTTAATTCGCGGAAATTCTCTGAAGCATACGAGACTAGAATTTGTCTTCGCCCGCCCTCCACGATTCAAAATAATTCCGCCCCTGCGTCCTAAAAACCGCCATGAAGAAGGTTCCTTGCCGTGTTCACAAGACCCCCCGCGAGAATGAACTCAACATGTGCCAGCTGAGTCCACATTTGTTACTGTAGTTTATTACACACATCCGGTGATGCCCCACCCACAAAAAATAAAATCTTTTGGTGCGTAATCAAACACTACGGCCAGGAAAAAAAATTCAGGACTCACCTACAAAGTTTCCGGTTACATTGGCGATGTTAAACTTTTGGGTCTCATAATATTACAGTTTTTTGTTTTAGAAATGTACACCTTCTGAATATTTGAACAGCTATGACTCATACTTGAGACAGCTGTTCGCGCCACCTCAGAAGACACTCCGACTTAATGTCACGATTATTAAAAATAACTTGACCCCCATTAGACATTCAAGGTGATATTCTGCATCATTTATTTTTATGTTACTGAAATATACTATCTGCTATTTACAGGTGCCAGAATTTCAAATAATCTTGGCCATGCCAGACGCTCACAATCCTTCGGGAAAGCTTAAACTTGTTGGCGTGAATTACGCCATTTTAAATTTTAAGTCAAAATGGCAGCCAAATTGGCGGCACAGAGAGCAAAACCTTGGAGACTAAATTTTAAAATCCTTTAGCCAAGCATCAGCAGATTAGACCGTCCAGGGTAGTAATTAATGGAGCTAACTCACACACCTGTCAAAAATAAAAGCACTATTTATTCGCCGAAAGATTTCAGTTCGGTCCTTATGAACAACGCGCTGCCCTGTCGCCTTCCACCGGAGTCCTCGTGCTCCGAACTGTTGAAAGCACACAGTAACACGACGGTGGAAATCAGAACAATTATTTTTATCGACGCTTGGGGGCAGTTGCGTCTGCAATAAGAGACAGGCCCGGTCCAGACAACCAGCACATCTACTTCACGGAGTCGGTGGTTGTCATTCTTCTTCAGCCAATTACTGTTCGCTAACTGCCGTGATAACTCCGGGGGTATAATGAGAATCACCGGAAGACGGGAGAAATGTAATTTGAAGCCGACGTTCGGCTAAATAGTATTTAAGAATTTGGCCCGTACCGCGAAGAAAACACAGCTCTTCACCATTGCAAAGATCGACTGGTTGACGCTGTTTAAGAAAATAATCGCTGTTTGCATTGAGAATTACACGAAACATAAAAATATAAAAATACTGGTATTTAAAGCAGGTGGCATATATATACGCATTTCCCACTTGGTTTGAAGGGTCTAATCAATCGGCCGTGGTGTTCTAGGGCTCTGGCAGCCACACAAATTTCTTAAAGGGCACGTAATGACAAACATCGAAAGATTTTATGTTCCTGAATTCATCAGCAGCTCCGTCT